GCCGTACCCAAATAGCGATTGCGTCATCATTCCATTACCTGGCTGTGATTGCAGTCTGCTATGTGAGACCTTCACTGCAGTACTCCTAGGAGTCTGCAATGTGAGGTCATTATGAGGTAAAGCAAGGCGGCGCCTTGTTACCTTTATCACACTCGCCTCATGTGTGTGCTCAGCTATGCACCCTTGGTGGGCTGAGCTACACTCAGAGTGGTGAGAGAGAGAGAGACTGAAGGAGTCTGAACGTTCTCGGATGTATCATGGAAAAGGGGCTCTCTTGTGACAAAGTCAATTGGAGCCAACTCTTTATTCAAAACATCAACAACAACAGTTCCCTCCATACCCTCAACAGAAGGGTGGGGGGGAATAGTGGGCACAGTCGGACCAGCCACTGCGCCGTCTCCCATTCTCGCACCCTCGCCACGTCATTGGCGCCGTCTCTTCTTGCCACCCCTCGAGTGCTTCCAAGAAGACGCTCTGACGACCTCTCTTGTCAACGGCACGGTTGGGACCTCTGGCACCGCAGGAGGCGCGGGGCCCGCTTCTCTGCTGCCGGAAGTCGCTGCATGGCGCCGGGCATGACGCCTCGCTGTAGACCCCTGTCTACTTGAGGCGGTGGAACTTGACGGTCGTTTCGGTGCAGGGCCGAGTCTTCCTGCCAGTGGCAGGTGTCTGGCCAGCTGCTTCCTCTCCTCATCAAGCCTCATAAAACGCTCCGTCGCATCCTTGATGGCGACCCCAAACAGGCCGTCGTCAGAGATGGGGGCGTTCAGTAACGCGGCTCTGTCTGTCTCTTTCATGGCTGTCATAGACAGCCAAAGGTGTTGTTCCACCACCACCGAAGTGGCCATGGACCTCCCCCCGAAGTGGCCATGGACCACCACCGAAGTGGCCATGGACACACAGCTGATGCCTGCGTTAAGTGGAGAATAGCGGCAGAAATTCTGGACGGCTCTTCCACTTCCTCCCCAGTGAGCTCAGACTTACCCGTTGTTAGGCGGGACAGAGAGGCTGCTAGGAGGGCAATATTATTTGCCGCTGCTACGGCCTGGGCTCCTAACACGAAGGACTTCTCAACCAGCTGTGCTGTGAGTCGGTCCTTCTGTGTGGGTAGAACGTCTTTCTTGGACAAGGGCCAGGGACTCGAACCCGGCACGAGATACGCAGCCAGGGCGCTCTCGAGCCTGGGGATTCCCCTTGAAAGGCCCTGCTGTCTGCCTTCCACTCTGGTGAATGGGAGGTACGCCTTAGCCGGTGAACGCGCCGCTAAAGGTGCCTCCCATGAGCCCTCCACATACTTACCAAGCGAGGGCATGGTCGGTGCCAGAGGCCTCCCTCCATCATATCCACTTCCGGGTTGGAGGGAATGGGGTGCAGCTTAATCTGCAGGCGCTCGGCAGCCCTCTCGATGAGCCCTGGAAAATCAGAGCTCAGAGAGGCTGCTGCGTAGGACAGGGCTACTGATCTCTCAGAACCCGTGTCGTCATCGCCCAGGGATGAAAAAGACCTCGCCCTTTCCAATGGAAATGGGGTCTTAAAATCATGGGTCAGAGGGATGGATATTCCACTGGAATATCCATCTCTTCCCCAATATCCCTGTCATCTCCTGAGTCAGCGCCCTCAGATGATGCCTCAGAAGCTAAGGCTAACACTGATAGCACATCCTCAAGAGGAATATCCTCCCTAAAAAATGCCCAACACTGCTTCCTCTCTTTCAATGAAAGGAGGGCGCAGCTGGCGCATAGTGGGGGATCTATGACGCCGTCCCTGGCGTGCTGTGACCCTAGATACACGAAACATAAGTCGTGGGGGTCAGCAGCCGCCATAGCGGAACAGTGACATTGAGTTCTGAGTCTTCGTCTCTTCGTAGCCGTCTTCAGTCTAGTCCAGTCGCTGAAGATAAAGGGTGGCTGATTGAGGGGAGGCATCCCCTCTTATAGGGACACCTGTACTCCTATTGGCTGCAGGTGTGTACATAATTTTGTCTCAGACGGTTTGCTGCCTAGGCAGCGGGGTAAACCAATAGGAGCAGAGCTCCACGATGATATAGAACTCTGTGGTTCAGTTCAGTTGCTCTCCTGTCAAGCGTTTTCCGCGTGATACCACAATGTGCATTGACCAATACTTTTCGCTTGTAGGATAGGTGGAGCGCAGTCCCTGAAAGGTCTGTGCACGGCCCTGGTGTCTCGGTTCAATCTGTGGCAAGCAATGACTCAGCAGCATCAAATGGCTCATTAACCACACTTCATGTAATTATCCACGAGGAGAGAGGACATGGAGGGTCATCAGACAGCAGTACAGCCTGCCATTAAACAGCTGCTGTGGAAATGGGAGAAGCTGGTGTGTGAAATAAGCAACTACTCTGTATACATCCCAAATGGCACCCTATTCCCCATGTAGTGCAGTACTTTTGCTCAGAGCCCTATGTGCCCTGGTCTAAAGAAGTGCACTGAAGTGAATAGGGTGCCATTTGGGACACAATTTTAGGCCCCTCATTTTTAGGCCCCTCGGGGGGTGGGGGAGAGGAGGATTAGGATTAGGATTCTTCTTCCACATGTTCAGGTTGCCATTATTGGTCTCAGAGTAGTTTGTAATGTGTAGCCTATCAATCATGACTGTATAGTATAATTATACTAGTCTCATGCCTTGTCTATGAATTTGCCCCTTCCACATTAAACAACAGCTTTTAATAAAAGTGCTATTATAGCGTTAACATCAATCAGAGTGGTTCAAACCACACACAATCCAAGACAATTATTTTTTCTGTTGTAACTCTTTTGATGAAAAGCAAACAGCAGTGTAGAGGAATGCAGTTCAATTTTAATGCAAATTTACAGTGCAAACAGAACTACAAAGACGGAAATTACTCAATACAAATCAAACCACTAAGGAGTTGTATTATATATACACATTTAGTTAGATACAAACACAAAAGTTAAATCAAAATGGTTAAAACAGGGCTATAGGCAGCACAATATAACACTATAACACTATCATCATGATTATATCATTATGATTATTCTTCATTCCACGTGTCTCAAAGAAACAGCTAGTGCACTGCCCAGTGTGCAATCACAGCACATGCAACAATTGGGAAGGATCGTGCAATAGGAGTCAAATCATAACTGAACTCAAGAGATTCAAGGCTTTGATGTGGTTTTCAAAATGGTATTCATATTAGTGGATGTAACTTAAGTGTCTAGTGTTTTGTTTCAATGGAGAACATCTCAACTGCTTGGTCAGCATTGGTAGTAGTGGGGTGTTAAAACTAAGAATGTTTTCTCTAGTGACAAGTCTTAGTGATTCTGTCTGTGTTTCCAGCCTCTCCTTATTCTACCTTCAAGTCTTCCAAGTATTTACATTAATCCTTCAAGTTTGAGCAGGAAACCTCACAGAATATACGTCACTCTACGTCCTAAATGCCACCCTATTTCCAATTTAAAGCACTCCTTTTGACCAGAGAACTAAGTAGGAAAGTAGTGCACTAAGTAGGAAACAGGGTACCATTTGGGACGTAAATGGTCAATAATAAACGTACCTCTCCTAGGAGGCCCTTTCACCATGCATCATTCAGAAGGTCAGAAAATGGAGTGTTGAGTTTCCTGCTCATTCACTTTCAACTTCACAGCAGCCTTGCCTTCTACAGCAACTTCAATAAATAGATTAATAACTTATGTCCTTCAATCTCCGTGTCCATGTATCTACTACTGCAGGTCAGTTTTTAAAATAACAAGCAACTAGTGATATTTTTGTAACATCTGTATAAAAGTGTTCAGAAATTCCAATACTTCAACATTTCACATTAGTAATAATGGAGAGAAAAAAAAAATCAACACTATAGTATTTACTATACATAAAGACATGGAGACAAATTAGGAATTAGTAAGAAAAAGGGAAAATATGAGGGGGAAAATAAATCCAAAAGAAGCAGATGGGAAATTCCACACTTAGCTCGAGGGGGTTAGGGTTAGGGTTAGGGGGGGGGGGGGGGGGGGGGGGGTGTCAGGGATTTCATAAATATCTTCATGTGTATTAGTGTATAAGTCATACATCCATGTTAACAAAACAAACGTTCTTCACATTTTATTCAAGTTTTGGTCTTTGTACTGGTTAGCGATGCGTAGTGATGTTATAGGTCATATACTGTACATTGAGTGAGCATATTGTTCTCCCTTCATGTACAGTTACGTAACAAGAAGGTCAGGAGAGGTATCATCCCTCTGGAGGGTTTTTATTCATCTAATCACAGCTGTGTTTCAGGTGCCATGCAGAGTTACTTTACATTGGCAGGAACAGGAGGGAACACCAGAGGGAGAGGATATAGCAAGAATGGTGTTGTTTCTAGTATCTAGTACGGTTTTTCCCTTATAAAGCGCTTACCTGCATCACAGCGCTGCTCTCTCTATCAGATAGCATAACTCCCTCTTCCCTCTCTATCTCTCTACAGCGCTTAACCTACAAGGCAAGGCAGAGCGCCAAAGGAGAGTTCTGTAGTGTTTGTTCAGCTAATGTTGTGCTGTACTAGCTAGCAACCATCTCTGTGTAAATCGAAGCAGATTGCCAAGGAGGACAGAGCAAGCAGAAGGCGTTAAAAACAAAACAAGGAATTTTAAGAAAAGGTGTAACTTCTGTCACCGTGGTAACATACTTCAATGGAATTTTACATAAATAAATTAAAAAGTGTGCCCTTCTTTGCTGCACTCTATGACAGGCCTGCTGCTAAAGTAGCCGACTAAACTCAACTCCGATTTACCCCTCAACTCCATCGTAAATCGTGGAGTTGAGTTTAATTGGCTACTGCTAAAGGTGACAGAACCCCCTTTTCTGTCACCCAATTAATCTCCTGAAGGGGGTGGGATGAGGGTGGGGGAGGTGTAACAGAGGAATGGGAGCGGGAACAAATCATACAAAGACAGCGAGGGGAAAGAGCATCATTCATTCTTCCACACTGAGGAGGTTCCTGGCTGCCTTCCTCTCCTTTTCCCCTAGAGGGAGCCACTCCATCACTCGCGGGAACGGCCTACGATAGCCAGGATGTAGAGGAAGATGTTGATGATGTCGGTGTAGAGGTTGAGAGCAGCGAAGATGTACTCCTCTGGACTCAGAGCCAGCTTCTTGTTGCCCAGGAGGAGCTGGGTGTCTACAGCCAAGAACTACAACCACACAGAACATGGAGTCAGGAATAATTACTTCCAGGCAATCAGTCACGTAGGAAAGAATCGTAACTCTTTGCATACAGATCTGAGTATTTTGGTATTTTATTAGGATCCCCATTAGCTGTTGCAAAAGCAGCAGCTACTCTTCCTGGGGTCCACACAAAACATGACATAATACATAACATGAATAGACAAGAACAGCTCAAGGACAGAACTACATCAATAAAATATAAAATACAATAAAATATAAAATAAGGCACATATATCCTACATATCAATACCAATACATACACACAAACAATCTAGGTCAAATAGGGGAGAGTAGGTACATCATATGGATTTGCAGGTTAGGATTCAGCCCGTTATGCTGATGTTTTTCTAAAGCTTCATGTTCTTATACCCGCAAAGGTTAGCAGTGATGTTCTGCCATACTGTATTAGCCTGAAATCATCAGAGACTATGCTGAATAAAATATAAATAATTTAATGTTGGTCTTTAAATGGTCTTTCTTCATCCCCACTCTCCTTCACGTCCCACAACCATTGAACTTCATCCCTCTCTTTCATCTGTCCATCTCCCTCCCTCCCTCCCTCCAGTAGGTCTTATGTCACCGTTCCCATTCTTTCCTTCAGGCATCATTCCAGGTCACTGGGCCCACTTTTCCACCCCTCCTCTCCAGATGTCTTTCCTTATTCTCTCCATCCTCACCAACACTCTGCCCTCTCCCCCATCCCCCCTCTCTCCACCCTCACCACACTCTCCCTTCCCCGCCCCCATCCCCCTCACTCCCTCCATCCTCACCAACACTCTGCCCTCTCCCCAACTCTACAATAGTTATTTGATGCTTATCAGGCCCACTTGTTCGAGCTTCTATCCGCAAATTCTGATCGACTTTCCCAGAGACTCTATTTTTTTAATGCTTCTCATCATTCCACTTCTTCTCCTTCTTTATTGTCCCACTTTCATGCTCAGTCTCTCCTGGCACACGCTGCCCACTGATACCTCCAGACGACTCATTACAACATCAATGATCCTGGCCCAGTCCCCATTCTCACTCACCAAACTTGCATCAGCCCTTCATTCCTCAATCGTCTGCTCAGCCAAACTTGCCCCACCCCAACCCCCGCTTCTCGCTCATCCTACCAAACACTCTCTCTCAATTTCTTTCTCTCCTCACCCACTCTGCCCTCTCCCCCATCCTCCTCTCCACCTCACCAACACTCTGCATCTCCCATCCCCCTTCCCCTCCATCCTACCACACCTGCCCTCTCCCATTCTCCTCACATCCTCACAACACTCTGCCACTCTCCCCCATCCCCATCTCTCTCCATCCTCACCAACACTCTGCCCTCTCCCCCATCCCCTCTTCTCCATCCTCACCAACACTCTGCCCTCTTCCCCATCCCTCTCCCCTCTCCATCTCACCAACCTCTCCGCCTTAACTCTGCCTCATCCACCCATCCTCTCTTCCATCCTCACCAACACTCTGCCCTCTCCCATCCCCCTCTCTCCATCCTCACAACACTCTGCGCCTACTCCCCCACCCCTCTCTCTTCCATCCTCACCAACACTCTGCCGTCTCCCCCATCCCCCTCTCTCTCCATCCTCACCAACACTCTGCCCTCTCCCCCATTCCCCTCTCTCTCCATCCACTCACCAACACTCTGCCCTCTCTCCCCCATCCCCCTCTCCTCCATCCTCACCAACACTCTGCCCTCTCCCCATCCCCTCTCTCCATCCTCACCAAACTCTGCCCTCTCCCCCATCCTCCACTCTGCCCTCTCTCCATCCTCACCAACACTGCTGCCCTCTCCCCCATCCCCCTCTCCTCCATACCTCACCAACACTCTGCCCTCATCCCCCATCCCCCTCTCTCTCCATCCTCACCAACACTCTGCCTTCCCTCTCCCCCATCCCCTCTCTCTCCATACCACACATCTCAACACTCTCCCCTCCCCCTCTCCCCATCTCACCAACTCTGCCATCCCCATCCACTCTCTCCATCCTCACCAACACTCTGCCCTCTCTCCCCATCCCCCTCTCTCTCCATCCTCACCAACACTCTGCCTCTCCCCCATCCCCCTCCTCTCATCACCAACACTCTGCCCTCTCCCCCATCCCCCTCTCTCTCCATCCTCACCAACACTTGCCCTCTCCCCCTCCCCCTCCCTCCTCCATCCTCATCCTACCAACACTCTTCCTCTCCCCCATCCCCCTCTCTCTCCATCTCACCAACACTGCCCTCTCCCCCTCCTCCATCCTCACCACACTCTGCCCTCTCCCCCATCCCCCTCTCTCTCCATCCTCACCAAACACTCTGCCCTCTCCCCCATCCCCCTCTCCCCTCTCCCACCTCCTCCCCCCCCCTTCCATCCTCACCAACACTCTCCATCTCCCCCATCCCCCTCTCCCCACCCACCACCCCCCTGCCGCCCCTCTCCCTCTCCCATCCTCACCAACACTCTGCCCTCTTCCCCCATCCCCCTCTCCCTCCATCCTCACCAACACTCTGCCCTCTCCCCCATCCCCCTCTCCCTCCATCCTCACCAACACTCTGCCCACTCCCCCATACCACCTCGCCTCCTCCACCCCTCCTCACCAACACTCTGGCCCTCCCTCCCCCTCCCTCCTCACACACTCTGCCTCTCCCCCATCCCTCTCCTCCATCCCACCAACACTCTGCCCTCTCCCCCATCCCCCTCTCTCTCATCCTCACCAACCTCATCCACCTCCTGCACCACCTGCCCTCTCCCATCCCCCTCCCTCCATCCCCCCTCCCCTCTCCCCCCCCCCTTCTCCATCTCACCAACACTCTGCCCCCCTCTCCCCCATCCCCCTCCTCTCCCATCCTCACCACACTCTGCCCTCTCCCCCATCCCCCTCTCTCTCCATCCTCACCAACACTCTGCCCTCTGCCCCCTCCTCTCCATCCTCACCAACACTCTTGCCCCATCCCTCTCCCATCCCCAACTCTCCTCTCTCCATCCTCACCAACACTCTGCCCTCTCCCCCATCCCCTCTCTCTCCATCCTCACCAACACTCTGCCCTCTCCCCCCCATCCCCCCTCTCTCCTCCATCCTCACCAACACTCTCTCTCTCCCCCCCTCCCCCATCCCCCTCTCTCTCCTCCTCACCACACTCTTCCCTCCCCACCTCCCACCACCTCTGCCCTCCCCCTCCCCCTCTCATCCTCACCAACACTCTGCCCTCTCCCTCTCCCCCATCCCCCTCTCCCTCCATCCTCACCAACACTCTGCCCCTCCCCATCCCCCTCTCCCATCCTCACCAACACTCTGCCCTCTCCCCCTCCCCCCTCCCCCTCTCCTCCTCCACACCTCTCCCCTCTGCCCTCCTCCCTCCCTCCATCCTCACCAACACTTCGCCCTCCTCCCCCATCCCCCTTCCCTCCATCCTCACCAACCCTCTGCCCTCTCCCCCCCTCCATCCTCACCAACACTCTGCCCTCTCCCCACCCCTCTCACTCACCAACATCGCCCTCTCCCCACCCTCTCCTCCATCCTCACCAACATTCCCTCCTCCCCTCTCTCCATCCCACCAACCTCTGCCTCCCTCCCCTCCCCTCCTCCACCAACATCTGCCCTCTCCCCCATCCCCCCTCTCATTCATCCTCACCAACACTCGGGCTCCCCTCTCCTCCCATCCCCCTCTCCCTCCCCATCCTCCACCAACACTCTGCCCTCTCCCCCATCCCCCTCTCCCTCCATCCTCACCAACACTCTGCCCTCTCCCCCATCCCCTCTCCTCCATCCTCACAACACTCTGCCCTCTCCTCCCATCCTCCTCACCACAACACTCTGCCCCCCCCATCCCCTCTCTCTCCTCACAACACTTGCCTCACAAAAACCAAACACTCTGCCCTCTCCCCCATCCCCTCCCTCTCCCCCCTCCTTCACCCCCACACTCCCCCTCCTTCCATCCTCATTCCTCTCCCCATCCCCCTCTCTCCATCCTCACCAACACTCTGCCTCTCTCCCCACTGCATCCTCACCCACCTTCCCCACCCCCTCTCTCCACCTCACCATTCCCCCCACACTCTCCTCCCATCCTCACCACCCTGCCCTCTCCCCACCCCCTCTCCTCCATCTCACACACTCTGATCCCCTCCCTCATCCTACAAACACTTGCCTCTCCCATCCCCCTCTTCCATCTCACCAACACTTGCCCCTCCCCCCATCCCCCTCTCCCTCCATCCTCACAACACTCTGCCTCTCCCAATCCCCCTCTCTCTCCATCCTCACCAACACTAGCCCTCTCCCCCATTTCCCCCTCTCTCTCCATCCTCACCAACACTCTGCCCTCTCCCCCATCCCCCTCTCTCTCCATCCTCACCAACACTCTGCCCACTCCCCCATCCCCCTCTCTCTCCATCCTCACCAACACGCTGCCCTCTCCCCCATCCCCCTCTCCCTCCATCCTCACCAACACTCTGCCCTCTCCCCCATCCCTCAGTCTCTTTATACTGCCTTGGTTTAAGGTGAATGAGAGCTCTGGGCAGAATTCTGTTTTGGTGAGTCTGACTGGCTCCCATTACTGACTGATGGCATCACCAAGGTCATTTTTCCCCCTTTAGAGTTTCCAAAATGTAGCAACGTTTTTTTATTCTTGCTTCGTTCTCACTTTTCCACTCTGCAGATGAAATTAGCCCAGTTTGACAGGGCTCAGGCAGAGATGGAAAACCTGATGCCGCCAGCAGCAGCCTGATAACCATGTCACATGTCCAGACAGTTGGACTTTTATGCTGTTAGAGCTCAATGTGTATAGCCCTGCCTCAACCTTCTCATTTAGCAACCATCCCATTGACTATACAATAAAAATGACACATGTACTTGATAAACAATAGAGACCCTCTATAATAAAGCGTGCTACTCCTGGGATTAAACTATGCCACGTCTCGTTACAATACTTACCAAGGTGACACAGTGGTGGTGGATGAGGTGAGTGTCCCCTTACAGTACAAAGCTGTTTCAGCAATTTGAATGAGAACTGCTATTCATATACAGCCCATTATTGAATGCAGTCAAGTGACCCTACTTACACAGGTAAAGAGCAGGGCTCCCAGGGAGGCGTAGACGATGTGGAGGATCCTGTGGCGGATGAAGATGCAGAGGATGGAGAAGAGCAGCAGGACGATCAGACACACGAACAGAACGCCCCGACAGGAAGTGAAGTCATACTTGCTCTGGATTGGGGTAGAAAACAAGGAAATTAGGGATTGTCAAGGATTGTTATTGAGTTGAGGTTAGAGTTGAGGTTAAAGCCTCTGCACGTTCCTCAATTCTCAAGGCTATGGGATAGTACGTGATAGTAATAGTACGTGATAGTAATAGTGAAACTGAAACAAAGGCCATGGAGGCAGAAAAAGACAGCATAATATCATTGTTCGCAACAAAGGAAGTGTGATGGAGTGACACTGACAGCAAGGTGGGAGTGTGTGTGTGTACTACTGACCTGTAGTGAAAAGAGGACCACGGTGAAGCAGACCACAGCGGTAATGCCCACGGCCATGATGACCGTCTCTGTGTCATTGAAGCTGGCGATCATCCCCACCATGTAGGAAAGACTTAGGGTCAGGATGGACTGAGGACAGACACACAGACAACGTCAGGATTACAACAACAACACATCCCTCTCACAGAGTCTACTACTGTAGACAGTCACGTCATCACTCTGATCTATGTTTCATCTCTTCGTTGATCTGAGTCCCAAATTGCAAACGAATCCCTACATAGTGCAATACTGGCACCCTATTCCCTACATAGTGCAATACTTCAAAAGTAGTGCACCATCTACAGAATGTGGTAATATTTGGGATGCAGTCAGAGTAGGGCCGTACCAATGCCACCAGGTTCCAGGGGTGTTTGATACAGGGAATAGGGTAGAGCCGTACCAATACCGGCAAGTTCCAGGGTTGTTTGATACAGGGAATAGGGTAGAGCCGTACCAATGCCACCAGGTTCCAGGGGTGTTTGATATAGGGAATAGGGTAGGGCCGTACCAATACCGGCAAGTTCCAGGGGTGTTTGATACAGGGAATAGGGTAGAGGCGTACCAATGCCACCAGGTTCCAGGGGTGTTTGCGGCGGAACTCTCCACAGCAGCTGAGGGTGATGAGAGACACGAAGAAGATGGCGTAGGACACGTAGTATGTCCAGGGGTTACGCCGCACAAACAACTTGGCGTCATCAACAAAGGTGAAGACGGCTACGAAGGAGAAGGTGACCATCAGCTGAACGGTCAGCACCAGGAACACCTGGGAGGGGGAGAATGTTGGACAGACAGATGTTATAGGACTGTTTCAAGAAAGCTTTTGAATAACTATGATAAAAGGTCAGTCAACACATAACATTGGCTTCGGAAATAAAATGCTGAAACTTTTCTAGCTAGCTTTTTGCAGTAATTGTATAATTTGAATAATAGTCAAAAACGTGAAAATAACACAATGGTATTCTGTTCTCATTCATGCACTCCCCTGTCCCCTCTCCTCCCTCACCTTTCTGATGAAGGCCTGTCGAATGCTCTTGTCCTCAAAGCCAGAGTTGGTGAACTCCTCATTGTCGTAGTAAGATGGTGGCACGTCCCCATGGTAACCATCACCCATAGAAGCTGAAAACCCCCGACAACAAGAAGAACAAAATATTGGCAATCAAATGCTTGTCAATTGTTAGACCACCGCATGGGTTGTTACTGACACGAGTCATTGAGTGAATTCTATATTGATAGTTATTGATCAGTCAGTCAGTTAGTTGGTTAGAGAGACAGTTTGGCTTTTTCATGAAGGACAGTGAAATAAAGACAAACAGGCAGCAGTTTCCCGAGGTAATTATACATCCACCTAAATGGAAAACCAAACCGCGACCTAAATAGAAAGAATTTCCAAACCGTGCATTTTAAAACGGAAAACTGACATAGCTTTATGGCATACAGCGCCTTGCAAAAGTATTCATCCCCCTTGGCGTTTTTCCTATTTTGTTGCATTACAACCTGTAATTTAAAATTGATTTTTATTTGGATTTCATGTAATGGACATATACAAAATAGTCCAAATTGGTTGAAGTGAAATGAAAAAAATAACTCACCCCCTTTGCTATGAAGTCACATAATTTGTTAAATAAAGTCCACCTGTGTGCAATCTAAGTGTTACATGATCTGTCAGCCCCGTGTAGCTCAGTTGGTAGAGCATGGCACTTGCAACGCCAGGGTTGTGGGTTCGATTCCCACGGGGGGCCAGTATAAAAATAAATGAATGCACTCACTAACTGTAAGTCGCTCTGGATAAGAGCGTCTGCTAAAATGACAAAAAATCCTACAATGTGATTTTCTGGATTTTTTTTCTCTCCATTTGTCTGTCATAGTTGACGTGTACCTATGATGAAAATTACAGGCCTCTCTCATCTTTTTAAGTGGGAGAACTTGCACAATTGGTGGCTGACTAAATACTTTTTTCCCCCACTGTATATACACCTGTTCTGAAATGCCCCAGAGTCTGCAACACCACTAAGCAAGGGGCACCACCAAGCAAGCGGCACCATGAAGACCAAGGAGCTCTCCAAACAGGTCAGGGACAAAGTTGTGGAGAAGTACAGATCAGGGTTGGGTTATTTAAAAAAATCTAAAACTTTGAACATCCCACAGAGCATCATTATTATTTTAAAAAATGGAAAGAATATGGCACCACAACAAACCTGCCAAGAGAGGGCCGCCCACCAAAACTCACAGACAAGGCAAGGAGGGAATTAATCAGAGGCAACAAAGAGACCAAAGATAACCCTGAAGGAGCTGCAAAGCTCCACAGCGGAGATTGGAGTATCTGTCCATAGGACCACTTTAAGCCGTACACTCCACAGAGCTGGGCTTTACGGAAGAGTGGCCAGAAAAAAGCCATTGCTTAAAGACAAAAATAAGCAAACACGTTTGGTGTTCGCCAAAAGGCATGTGGGAGACTCCCCAAACATATGGAAGAAGGTACTCTGGTCAGATTAGACTAAAATTGAGCTTTTTGGCCATCAAGGAAAACACTATGTCTGGCGCAAACCCAACACCTCTCATCACCCCGAGAACACCATCCCCACAGTGAAGCATGGTGGTGGCAGCATCATGCTGTGGGGATGTTTTTCCATCAGCAGGGACTGGGAAACTCGTCAGAATTGAAGGAATGATGGATGGTGCTAAATACAGGGAAATTCTTGAGGGAAACCTGTTTCAGTCTTCCAGAGATTTGAGACTGGGACGGAGGTTCACCTTCCAGCAGGACCATGACCCTAAGCATACTGCTAAAGCAACACTCAAGTGGTTTAAGGGGAAACATTTAAATGTCTTGGAATGGCCTAGTCAAAGCCCAGACCTCAATCCAATTGAGAATCTGTGGTATGACTTAAAGATTGCTGTACACCAGTTTTGCCTTGAAGAATGGGCAAAAATCCCAGTGGCTAGATGTGCCAAGCTTATAGAGACATACCCCAAGAGACTTTCAGCTGTAATTGCTGCAAAAGGTGGCTCTACAAAGTATTGACTCTGGGGGGGTGAATAGTTATGCAAGCTCAAAGTTCTGTTTTTTTGTCTTATTTCTTGTTTGTTTCACAAAAAAAAAAATTTTGCATCTTCAAAGTGGTAGGCATGTTGTGTAAATCAAATGATACAAACTCCAAAAAATCCATTTTAATTCCAGGTTGTAAGGCAACAAAATAGGAAAAATGCCAAGGAGGGTGAATACTTTCGCAAGCCACTGTATAAGTGGGAGTGAAGACTTTCGTAACGGCGTTCATTTAACTGTACTTGAATAATGATGGAATAATGATGTGGAATAATGTGTATGACATGGGTAGTTACAGTTTCCAAACTGCAGTATAGCCTGAGAGTTACCTACAGTGTGTTACAGTGTAGGAAAGTAGACTCCACTCTCCTAAACAATGCCCAACAAAAAGCAGTCTCTGAAAACACATCCTGAACTAGTAGATGTCAACTTCCTTCCACTCACCGTTGGGGTCACCAGGGAACCCTGGCTGTGCAGGTTGCTGGTAGGGCCCCGCAGGGTACGGGGCCTGGGGATAAGGCATCTGAGGGTAGGGTCCTTGTCCAAACCCAGGGCCTCCCTGGGGGAAAACAGGCTGACCATAGGGTGCAGGTTGATCGTAGGGTGCAGGTTGACCGTAGGGTGCAGGTTGACCGTAGGGTGCAGGTTGACCGTAGGGTGCAGGCTGGCCGTAGGGTGCAGGCTGGCCGTAGGATGCAGGCTGGCCGGGGTATGGAGCTTGCACTGAGGCCTGGGTGTAGTTGGGAGGGGGTATCCCAAATCCGGGCTGGGGTGGTCCGTAGACGTTGTTGTGGAGGGGGTTGTTCTCCCCCATGACCCCGGGGTAGATGTTCTTGTCCTGAGACATGGTCTGTTTCGCTCACTGCTGACCTGAGGAACAAGGAAACAAAAAACATGAGTCAAACCTGTATGACATTCACATGCACATAACACTGTTTTGGGTGAGAGTTCGCATTTGAGATAACATGACTAGCTGGAGTTTTCTGGAAAGTGAGTCAGTGGAAGGGAAATGGTGAGGTGAAACATAGTAAACTTAGACTATGATGATGTTTGACAACTTCTCTAAATGTGTCATACCGGTTAGCCTAGTTGTCAGCATTAAGGTTCAACAGACACATCTTAGGTCAATAACACCAGGAAGTGTTTTTCTTCTCCTTGCTTGTTTTACTCCCTCCCTCTAAAAGGAGGCACCGGGGAAAGTAATGACAGTCTTAGCACAGTCTTGGCCACACTGCCAAAGCACTGCATCTGTCCGATTACAAAGGTGATGAGAATGAGGAAGCAGGCTGGCAAGAGGCCCAGGCAGCAGCCCAGTGGGTCTTCCTGAAACACCCAGAGAGTTTTCACACAGATACCCATTTCAGACAGAATTGACGGTATGTTACCTGTAATCTTTTTCAAAATACAAATCGGCCAATGTTTATATGACCCCCTTTCAAACAGTCCCATTTTTACCACTTTCTTGCCGGTTTATGCCTTTTATACATCCCGTTGCGCAGCCGGCACCGGTGACGGGTGGGAACAGGGGTGTGCCGATGTGGGTGGGCGTGTGCCGATGTGGGTATTCTATTCAAAAGAATAGAATAGCATATTTTAAGTTGAATTATGTCACTGGTCTGTGCAGCCTAGGCTATGGCTGTGCCATTCAAATGAAATCAATATAGTTAATTATTTTGTTCATTAAAACAGACAAGACACAATTACATTCCCCTGCCCTGATCACAGTCAACACACATATTTTATAGTAAGAATATAACGGAATATAACAGAATAAAATATAATATTTTCCCCAAACAACGTGTGGAACCAACTGTTTTTCACAAAAAAAATTGCTACTTTTCCGATTATGTATACAGTGAGGGAAAAAAGTATTTGATCCCCTGCTGATTTTGTACATTTGCCCACTGACAAAGAAATGATCAGTCTATAATTTTAATGGAACGTTTATTTGAACAGTGAAAGACAGAATAACAACAAAAGAATCCAGAAAAACGCATGTCAAAATTGATTGCATTTTAATGAGGGAAATAAGTACTTGACCCCCTTTCAATCAGAAAGATTTCTGGCTCCCAGGTGTCTTTTATACAGGTAACGAGCTGAGATTAGGAGCACACTCTTAAAGGGAGTGCTCCTAATCTCAGCTTGTTACCTGTATAAAAGACACCTGTCCACAGAAGCAATCAATCAATCAGATTCCAAACTCTCCACCATGGCCAAGACCAAAGAGCTCTCCAAGGATGTCAGAGGCAAGATTGTAGACCTATACAAGGCTGGAATGGGCTACAAGACCATCGCCAAGCAGCTTGGTGAGAAGGTGACAACAGTTGGTGCGAATATTCGCAAATGGAAGAAACACAAAATAACTGTCAATCTCCCTCGGCCTGGGGCTCCATGCAAGATCTCCCCTCGTGGAGTTGCAATGATCATGAGAACGGTGAGGAATCATCCCAGAACTACACGGGAGGATCTTGTCAATGATCTCAAGGCAGCTGGGACCATAGTCACCAAGAAAACAATTGGTAACACACTACGCCGTGAAGGACTGAAATCCTGCAGCGCCCGCAAGGTCCCCCTGCTCAAGAAAGCACATATACATGCCGTCTGAAGTTTGCCAATGAACATCTGAATGATTCAGAGGAGAACTGGGTGAAAGTGTTGTGGTCAGATGAGACCAAAATGGAGCTCTTTGGCATCAACTCAACTCGCCGTGTTTGGAGGAGGAGGAATGCTGCCTATGACCCCAAAAACACCATCCCCACCGTCAAACATGGAGGTGGAAACATTATGCTTTGGGGGTGTTTTTCTGCTAAGGGGACAGGACAACTTCACCGCATCAAAGGGACGACGGACGGGGCCATGTACCGTCAAATCTTGGGTGAGAACCTCCTTCCCTCAGCCAGGGCATTGAAAATGGGTCGTGGATGGGTATTCCAGCATGACAATGACCCAAAACACACGGACAAGGCAACAAAGGAGTGGCTCAAGAAGAAGCACATTAAGGTCCTGGAGTGGCCTAGCCAGTCTCCAGACCTTAATCCCATAGAAAATCTGTGGAGAGGGCTGAAGGTTCGAGTTGCCAAACGTCAGCCTCGAAACCTTAATGACTTGGAGAAGATCTGCAAAGAGGAGTGGGACAAAATCCCTCCTGAGATGTGTGCAAACCTGGTGGCCAACTACAAGAAACGTCTGACCTCTGTGATTGCCAACAAGGGATTTGCCACCAAGTACTAAGTCATGTTTTGCAGAGGGGTCAAATACTTATTTCCCTCATTAAAATGCAAATCAATTTATAAAATTTTGACATGCGTTTTTCTGGATTTTGTTGTTGTTATTCTGTCTCTCACTGTTCAAATAAACCTACCATTAAAATTATAGACTGATCATTTCTTTGTCAGTGGGCAAACGTACAAAATCAGCAGGGGATCAAATACCTTTTTCCCCTCACTGTACGTAGGAATCAAATGTCTAACCTGGATAAACCTCTGTAGTATTATTTGAAAAAGTGACTTTTTTTGTTAAAATAATAATAATGCAGATTCACATATATTTTTTTCCTACCCTCTCTCCGCTTGTTAGATATTATGCACATTGACAGCTTGCTACTAAACAACCTCGCCAACTGATTTGTATATTTTTTTTATAGTAGCAGCAGACAGTTATCTAAATAATAGGAGCAAAACATGCAAGGAGAAATGACTGGTGAAATTATCAAGCGATGAACAAGTGAAATATTTATTAGGATCCCCATTAGCTGTTGCTCACGCAGCAGCTACTTTTCCTGGGGTCCACAGACAAAACATAAAACAAAAAATGACATAATACAGAACATGATAGAACAGTTCAAGGACAAAACTATACATTTAGTCCCCGAGTGGCGCAGTGGTCTAAGGCACTGCATCGCAGTGCTAGCTGTGCCACTAGAGATCCTGGTTTGAATCCAGGCTCTGTCGTAGCCGGCCGCGACCGGGAGACCCATGGGGCGGCGCACAATTGGCCCAGGGTAGGGGAGGGAATGGCCGGCAGGGATGTAGCTCAGTTGGTAGAGCATGGCGTTTGCAATGCCAGGGTTGTGGGTTCGATTCCCACGGGGGGGCCAGTATGAAAAAATATATATAATAATGTATGCACTAACTGTAAGTCGCTCTGGATAAGAGCGTCTGCTAAATGACTAAAATTTAAATTTAAATGCAGCGAATACAATAGCCTAAATGGATTAAAAGCATTTCTGTGAAGCTTTGCGATTAGCTCGCGGGTGAGTGTCATCCCAATGCCTGGAAATGTTTTTACGGTTTGTTTTCCCCCCCACAGAGGCTTTGGCGGAACTTTTAGACATAATACCTTAATCATGTCTAGGTCTGTTTGTGGAATTAAATATACCAGCTTTGTTACCGGCTTCACCTTTCAGATATAATGAAAAGGTGGTATAAAGAAGATGGTATGGTAAAGACTGCAGGATTTTGTCTTGGTATAAAAAGGGATAAGAGAGTCACATATCCACCATAAACACAGGAAATGGCGGAGCGATTTCAGCATAGTGCCTCTTTAAAACAGGCCTATACATTATTATTTTTTTACAAAAATCATACGCACGAGTATTCAAAGACTAACGTCCGCGCGGATATTCGAATAACCGAAACCTGAGTATTCATTTTTGCGAGAGCAAAAAAATTATAGATATATTGTAACACTGAAAATGCTTTTTCTAAATTAAATTAAAATATCCACATGACATTGTTACATAAAAGGATAACATGACATTTCAAATTATTAATTGAATAAAAATACTTTTCAATGTAGGCTCAACGAGGCTCAACGTGTAGCAAGTGGAGTATGAGTTTACTACTGTATGGTTGAATAAAATGACGGAATTGAAAAGTTAGTGAAATGAGAAGGAGTAGGCTACAACAAGCAACCAACAGGTAGGCTGTTGTTTTATCTGAATGGGGCTGGGGAGAAAGCGCAGCATGTGGCCTCAAAACCTAGCTTGCTATAGCTAGCTAGCTTCTCTAGGCTACGCCAGTCAAGACAGGTACTGTTATTTGGGATGATCAATAACACTGAGTATGTTTACATGCATACTAATAATTCGATATTAAACTGATTATGGCAGTAGGCAGATTATGCAATAGTCATGTAAACACCTTACTCTGCTTATCTTAATTCGGTGTGAGGTCAAAATCAAAGGTAAGCATATGCCGATTAAAACACCTGGTTTTCTGAGCAATCTTTTGAATTATTAGGACATGTAAACACCTTAATCTGCATTCCAGCAGTGTGATCTGCACCTGTGCTATCACCACCCGAGAGCCTCCCTCTTTAGCGCCAGTGAAGTGAGTTCGGAACAACTGAATGTATGCGTCTTAGAAGTATTTATTTCACATACAAACTTTATATGTCTGAACTCAGAATCAAATATGCTTCCCAAAAATAACATGGTCACTGTGGTAGAACGTTTATTTTGATTGCCGATTTTCTGCAATAATTAGAGTGCAATCATGTAGAAAGGATTATGTAAAAAGGATTATTAAGGAAATCGTTCTTGCAAAGCATGTAAACGTTTTAATTAAACTTATATTAATCTGACTATCCACAATAATCGCATTATTGTGTGCACGTAACCACACTCACTGTGGATGCTACAAGTTATCTAGTATTGGCTCTCTCTCTCTCTCCAGATCGAAGCTGCAGCAATAGAGTACCAGCCTCTTTCTATCCCTCGCTCAGCAGTGCTCAGGTTTTAAAAAAGTATGTTTAAAAACATATATTTTGAATATCCAGATATCGGTCCAAAATTCATGATACTATTCAAATAGTGACATTATTTCAAAGCCCAATCCCTACTGACAA